GAGGCTATTGAAAACGAGAAGAAAATGAAAAATGATTAGAAAGAATATGTATAGGCTGCTCCTAGGAAAACTAGATGGGTGGTGGTGCTTCTGCTTCGGCTTCTACTATATAAAGTAAAAAGAAGGCAAAAAAAATGAGAAAAAAAACCACTAGAACGACATTTTGAGACGGTGCCTGAACAAGGAGGACACTGAGAATTCGAAAAGTTGATCATGAATAGTCATTCAAACCTTGGACAGGAATGCACAGAGCTAATTGGAGTCTTGGTTTGAGAGTAATCAAGGGCTGGTTGATGAGGGTAATCGTCAAAATTCTAGCCTGTCAAGAAATTTAATCAAAAACCCCAAGTTGTGAGCAAAACAGCTTTCTTATAACGAAGATGAGTCCAAAAGATGCTCAGGATCGGAAATTATTGTTATATAGCATTATTTGTGAACAAGTGGAGCATCATCAAACACAGACGCATGGTCCTAGGATCGAATTCCAAATCGACACACGCTCAATCCTCAGATACATACCTCTAGTGCCGGTTAAATGGAACCAGACTCACTTGGAAGGTAAAAAGCACTAACTGGTCACTACGATTCATTATAGGCTACATACGCACTCAAAACGCCACAACAATTCTGAATGAAAATCGAGTGCAGGGCGCAACCCAAAAGGAATCGATTGAGGCCAGTGGCTCCAAACTCTATACTCTTATCATGGTTACATAGTAATATTATTGCTATACAACGATAACCAAATACAGCAATTCATTATAAAGGTATACAACACGAGGCCTTACTATACATGCCAAAATTTCAAGAAAATCGAGGGTAGAATCTGATACTCTTAAGCTGGAAAGTTGAGAGTAAGGCCAGATAGTCTTCTTTTCTGTTTTTCTCGGGATAAGAGGACGGCAGCAGACGAAGCGTTCATACCGTACTTGAGGTCTAGAAGACGAACCACGGATCGAAATCTCCCTGCCCAACCTCCATCATTCTTTACCACAAAGTAGTGAAGTGGTTTTATCGATTGTTTTTAATCTAGTGATCAGAAACACTATGTAGGTTGGATACATGTCGACTCTCTCCCGGAAGGATCCCTTATGGGCGATGGGTGAGCCAAGCAATTCCAGCTTGATTGTCAACACTAACGCTGCTATCGCTAGATGAATAAATAATGGCTTTTGCTAAGGCAATGCAGATAATAATGACGTAATTGTAATAGTAATATTCACGTCACCTGCCTAAAAACTTCAACGCAGGAACATGACGGCGGACGAGCTATTTATAAATGACGGAAGGGCTGATTAAGTTCCGGAGCTGATTCCAATCATATGGGAGTATGCCCTTTTAGGGTGAATGATCGTCTAGTATTTCCTGAAGTTGTACTAAAAACAGCAAAATTTAAATTCCAAAATTCCAATTTCAGGATTCCAGTGAATTATTTATCAGCAGTAGTATAGAAATGTACTCCATCCCATTTCTGGCTAAATCCCGTGATGAGCAAAGTCTATTCAACGAAAACCATGAAGTTGAGGTTGTTGTTCGTGGCTGGGCTGAAGCTGCTCTATCACACGGATGGAAGTGGAATCATGCCCTACCAACCCATCTCTGCCCTGTTTTATTGGGAATAAGGGATAAAACTAGAAATTTTTGGCGTCAATCATTCTCATTTTGGGATGCGTTCTCGCTTTCCACTTCCATTCAGAATCGTAGTGGTGCTTGGAATGAGTAAATGGCCTACAAAGTTGCGGTGGTCAGCCTGTGCACAAGTCAGGGCTTTTGTATTTTACAACAAACCCAATACCAATTAGCCAATGAATTAATGGACGGCCTGGATGCCTGGGCGAGTATCGAACCAATTTTTAAATTTTATGTGCCCATGCAACATAATTCCAATTCATTTGATGTGTGAAAGAGACCAGGGTGAACCTATCCTTTTATGGTAACGGCCAGTTTAATACTCGCACAGGGCTCAAAAGACCATCCAATGGGTTAGGCTTGACCAGTTTCCGTACTCGATCTTCAAAAAAAAACAAAAAATACTTACTAGTTTGCCTGAGCTAGTTCATCTGTCTTCCCAATACGAAACAAACATTATTTTCGACAAACGCTAGACGGGCCAGATATCCCAAGGGGATTAAAGGTCACTCATCATCTTTTTGCCTGCAAGCCATTCATTTTCCTGGTACTTTCTGATAAGGGCATTTGCTTGTTGGAGGGTTAGTGGAGAGAATGAAGTCATAAAAAAGAAGAAAGACTGCAGGAGAAAAAACTAGTTGTAGACGTGTTGGCTGGAAATTTCTGCCTTTGATGATTCTAGAGCATCCTAATATGTTCAGAAGATCATCTAGCAACAAGTATCTATGCGGGAATTGATTAGACAGCAACAGCTTTGCCGTTTGTGGACTGAGTGGACTGGTTTCAAGCCCACCTCAAATGAATAAATGAATAGATTAAGATTGTAAAGCAAGAAATTTGGTGTTCATGGCTTGGTCAATCAATTTAATGACGTTAAAGAGGTGTAGGGCTTGGTTGGTTGGCGAAAATAATAATTTGGAATCTGATTTTAGGACTAATACCTTTTCGATCCGACGACCAATTCCACCACACAGGCGATGCTTTAATGACTAAAACAATATGTAGAAAAGTAATTACCGTATTCACTGCATTCATCAAAAATTGGACTAATTCAAAATTTTTTTCAATCAAAATGAGGGGAAGTAAAGCGCGATTCTCGAGGATTCTCATTTGTCTTCCCATTGAAGTCTCTTCATACTCATTCATGGGTGAAATTACAGATCCCAATAAAAAGTGGCTTCAGGAACTTTGATAAACAGGCTGGAGATATAAACTCCAGATATCAGCGAAATGGCAATATACACAAGAAAAACGAAGATTGTGAGAGTAAAAAAGCTTTCCGAGAGCGATTTCAGGAGATAAATGGGTGAAAAGAAGCTCCACTTGATCAATCATTTGTCCCGGGAAAAGATACTGAGAAACTTCGCTCTGATTCAGTTGTAAAGAGGTAGTATGCGATATGCTCGTAAAATTAGCTGCTAAGGATGTCCAAGACGAAAGTGCATATGTCGTTTGGTTCGCCACGAGGAAGAAAAACGGGGTAGATAAAAATGGTGAGCTCTAAATTGATGGACTGTTCCCTAGTTTGACGTCTGCGCGAGAAATGGACTCTGGAAAAAATTTCAAAAAAGTGGAACCTTTTTTCAGGTTCAGTTATACTCAGATTCAGGAAATCCTATAAAGAATCCTCCACAGAATATAGGTTCAATGCATTTGGTAAAGGCCAAGTAAACAGTTCAAAATAAAAAAGCTTCCACAGTGATTTCATGTTACACTACATACTTATTTCCTACGTTTATACTTTCACGTAAATCCTCCGCAGCGTCATAATTAAATGTATAAATAAATAAATAAACTGCACAATAGGTGATGTATAAAAGAGCTGATTGACCTGAACCCAGCTAAGTTATTTCAACCAATTCTGAGGCTTTAATAGCCTTCATGAAAGCCGAAAGCAAACTGTTATCTGCCCAAACTGCCAAATATGTACCAATGAGCCATTCTATAAATAATGCAGTAAAATCTGTTTTTCAACACAGCGAATGGTAGGTGAAGATTCCAGACGCTAGAAAAACATAAAAGTAGCTCAAAATCAATGCAAAAACTCCTAAGTCTGTAAACAAATTGCTTTAGCCACAGAAAATTAGTAAATTATATGTTAGGAGCGTTCTAGCCTCTTCTTTCTTCTTAGAAACTCGTAAGAGTCAACTGTATTGAGTCAGGAAAGTAATCGCATATCCAGCTCAATCAACTATGTCAACAGTAGAGAAAAAGTAGATGTGGAAAATATGGATATGAATGAAGAATGGCAAAACTACTTTCTAACTGACTATCTCGAAAATTGGCGTTTTTCAAAAAGCATTCCTTGAGTAGTTGAGATTTCCCGAAGCCCTTCAAGTAGGGGAGGAGCATTGAAGCGTGCTCCAAATTCGACGACGACGACGACGACGACGA